AGAAGTGTTTTTCAGACAGCAGAACAACAAATGCATCTTTAGGGTGGGGTTGGGCAGTTGGTGAAGTGTACTATTTGAGAGAGAGCTGGAGAGGGAGCCCAGGGTACATCACAGCCCAAAGCAAGAGGTTTGAACCTCTGCCTCTAGACATCATGTAGAACAAGTGTAGACCTTCCTCTACAGAATAGTCTTTTATGTATTTGAAGATATCTATCCTGTCCCCAGTGAGACCTTTTGAGAAATAGACATTTTCATTTCTTTCTACTGTTCCTTCAACTGCCTCAAGAACCATCAATATTCTGGCCAATTTATTCTGTACATCCTCCACTCTTTCTATGTTCCTCATAAAGGTCATACCTAGGCCATTAACACAAGATAGAGTATGTCTGTTTCTTACTTTCTAATATGCGTTCTAGTCATACATTTCAAGATTGTATTACCTTTTATTTTTATTTTTTCGGTCAATCACATTATTTAGTCATATTGAGTTTTCTGCCAAAATCTCTGGATTATTTTCTATATCATCTGCTGCTAATCTGTATTTCCCTTCAACCTATACTTCTGTGATGTCCATTGTGGATAGTTGTTGTTGTTTTAGATTTAAGGACATAGTCTTACACTTATTATATTTACTATTATTTGGTTTAACCCATGACACTAGCCTTTCAAATTTCCTTGGGGTGCAATGTCATCATCTGCTGGATCTACTATTCCTCTTACCTGCTTGTCATGTACAAATTTAATAAATATATCTTCTGAATACTCACCAAAGTCATCTAAAAATATTTATGAAACAAAGCTCAGGACAGACTCAAATATAAGATCTGTAAGAGCAGAGACCGTCTTGTTCAGTGTTGTTGTTTTTTTTTAATATGTTTTTATTGATTTTTTAGAGAGAGAGGAAAGGAAAGAGAGATAGAAACATTCATCAGCTGCCTCCTGCATGGCCCCTACTGGGGATCAAGCCCACCACCTGGGCATGTGTCCTGACCAGGAATTGAACCAGGACCTCTCAGTCCATGGGATGATGCTCAATCCACTGAGCCACATCGGCCGGGCTAGTGTTTTTCTTTTACTCACCATGTGTCTAGTCTAGAGTATGTTTGATGGATTAAACTGGACCAAGAACCTCCTTTCAAGTTGACATAGATCCACCATCACTACCCTTGAATAATGCATAACTTCATTGGACTGTATTCAAATTATCATCTTGAACATAAGGATATCCAGAGAGACCTTGGAATAAAAGCACTTTTCTAGAAAGTATGGATTTGCCTTTTGGGGGAGTAGGCTCATACTTATTGTATATATTTCATCCAATAGAATTTCTTCACCTTTGCTTTCTCTTTTACCTTTTCATTTATTCTTCTCTATACTATTATATCAGGTTTTGAACCTCTTTGCCTTTGAAGTCAGTATTGTGTACTTCTTAGTTTCTCTCTATTTTATTGGAATTATTTAAGCTCAGATGCTCTTTGGAAGGCCAAAACATATTTTTCTAGCCTTTTCATATTTTCTAGCATTTAAGTTAACCTTTTTGTATTCAACATACCCATAGCTCATGCTTGCCTTTGATAGGAAGATAAGCTTAGCTTTATCTCTTTCTGTCATTAAACCAGTGCCATTAGATCTCATGAATCTTGGTTGATACTGAGATATCAAGATACATATCATCCTATATTACATTATTTTCTTTTACTGTCCCTTGAAATAGAAGTTAAGAGCATAACCTTGCGACCAGATAGACTTCTGATACTGTATTAGTTTCTGAAACTCCTTAGGCCTCAATTTCCTTATCAGTAAAATGTGGATATTAACAGTTCCCACTGCATAGCATTCTTAAGATTTCCTCAGATAAATATCCAGAAGTAGATGGCTGTGTCATAAGGTAGTTCTATTTTTAAGTTTTTGAGGAACCTCCTTACTGTTTTCCATAGTGGCTGCACCAATAAGCAATCCCACTAACAATGCATGAGGGTTTCCTTTTCTCCACATTCTCACCAACCCTTGTTTGTTGATTTTTTGATGACAGCCTTTCTGACAGGTATGAGGTGGTAGCTCATTGTGGTTTTAATTTGTATTTCCCTGATGATTGATTAGTGATGTTGAGCTTATTTTCCTATGTCTATTGGCCACCAGTATGCTGTCTTTGGAGAAATGTCTTTTCAGATCCTCTGTCTATTTTTAAATCGAATTGTTTGGGTTGTTTTTTGGTGTTAAGTTGCACGAGTTCTTTATAAATTTTGGTTATTAACCCCTTATCAGATGTGTCATTAGTGAATATCTTCTTCCATTCAATATATTGTCTTTTTGTTTTGTTGATGGTTTCCTTTGCTGTGCAAAAAATTTTTAGTTTAATGTAGCCCTATTTATTTATTTTTTCTTTTGTTTCTCTTGCCCAAGGAGTTATATTAGAAAAGAAATTCTGCTAAGAGAAATGTCAGAGATTTTACTGCCTATTGTTTCTTATGGTTTTACATCTTACATTTAAGTCTTTAATCCATTTGAGTTTATTCTTGTGTATGGTGTAATAAGGTGAGCTAGTTTCATTTTTTTCCCATGCAGCTGTTCAACTTTCCCAACACTATTTATTGAAGAGCCTGTCTTTACCCCATTGTATATGCTTGATCCTTTGTCATACATTAATTGACCATATAGGCATGGCAATAAAAAAGAATAAAATCTTACCATTTGTGACAACATGGATGGACCTAGAAGGTATTCTGCTAAGTATAATAAGTCAGACAGAAAAGGCAAATACCTTGATTTTACTTATATGTGGAATCTAAAAAACACAGTAAATGAACAAATAAAACAGAAACAGACTCATAGATACAGAAAACAAACTGATGGTTTCCAGATGGGAAGGAGTTGTGGATGGGGTTAAAAAAAGTAAAGGTATTAAGAAGTACAAATTGGTAGTTACAAAATAGTTACCAAGATGTACAGTATAGAGAATGTAGTCAATAATATTGTAATAACTATGTATGGTGCTAGGGGGTACTAGACTTATTGGGGAATCACTTTGTAAATTATATAAATGTCTAACCACTCTACTATACACCTGAAACTAATATACAGTAATACTGTCAACTGTAATTGAAAAATTTAAAACAAGATTAACATGTGGTTGAATGTTTACTATATAGTAAATACTCAGTAAGTACGAGTTCTAGTTATTGTGATATTTTTTTGTTGTTTCTATAAGTTCCTTCATTAACAAGGCACAGTATAAAAGAACAAGGCCCCCAAGTGACCTATATGATTAAAAGTGCAAATTTACTCCAACCTGAAATAGAAAACAAATGTCAGGGCTCGAATATTTGGGCTATGGAAATTTGGTGTGATTAAAACGCCTTTTAATCACACAATAGTAGCAGCTAAACCATATTTGATTAACTCTTTGGTCTGTGTTATTGGAACAAAACATGCTCTGACTGTAGCTGACACACTGCATCATAATGCAAACTTTGGGGTCAGAATACACATTAAAAATCACAACAAAATAATAGGAATGTTTTAAAGTCAACTGCCTATATCAAGGCACATTTTTAAAAAAAATGTGCTTAAAGTATTCTTAAATATTTGACACTTGAAAAACCAGATTATATATAATTTAGCTGCACATTTTAGTCTATTCTCTCTGTATAGATAATTACATATATATTAACCCTCTTTCAATTTATACTTGCTTTATGCCCATTAAATCATGTGCTACTATATAGGTATAAAACAATAAAAGCAGCATCTAAGTGACGGACATGCAATTTTTAAAAAATTAGCAAGTGCCACATGATAACACTGAACTTCTATACCTCTCAAGGGACGCTGGCAATGTTAATAATACTTGGAAGGGATGTAGTGGGTGGGTGTAAGTTAAGTCTTCAGTATCAAGGTCAAAAGCCACATTTTACAGAAAAAGTGTCTTACTCCATGAGGATAAAAGAGATACTTTGGAAACTGTTAGGTTAATTCCTTCAAAATACTAGGATGTTCATTTTGGTGGGCGCCACCAAGTCAGAAAGGCAGAGACACATCTGATCAGAACAGTGTTCTTGGCAAAGAAAATGGTAACAAGCCTAAGAAGCTTGGCCCTTAGACCCAGCACTGTTTTTCTGGTGTTCAAGGCCACCAGCTGTCATCACTAAGGCACAGGCAAGGACACTACTAAAAAGAAAAATGATAATAATAAATTTTAAAATAAGAATGAAATGCAAATAAAAAAGAGAAAACTTATTCTGCAATCCTTCCTGATGTTATGATCACTTTTGCTAGATTATAAGCTTCTTGAAATTAGGAACCATATCTCAAACTTTATTAACCAATTAGTACTTAATACAAATTTACTATTATTCATTTACATAAGAACTACAGAAAAGGAAACATCCTGGAATAAATATTATTAGATCTGATTTTGGTTGTTTTATGTTACACTTCTTTATTATCCTTTAATTGATGGGATGTGCTTAGATGCTCTTTTATTTCTTTCTCCTAATCTGATTAAATTTTTTATTTAATTTCTAAACTTCCTTTTGTCTTTGCTTGCTGGATATAGTAATTCAAAGTCAAATTCCACTAGTATTCTCAACTTCGTGTTAAGCTTATCTCCATTTCGAAGATAAAAAACCAAGGCTCAGAGAATTCCAGTGAATGAACCAAGATCACACAGTTAGTAAGTAGCAGCTGCGAGAATGACATGGCTTAACCATAAACCAATGAGGAAGAAATTTAAGAGGAACAGGAGTAAATAGTATGAAGTACATAGAGAAAGAGATGTTTTGCCCTTAAAAAAAAAAAAAAAAGGTGTGCAGAAGGGAAGTCTTTGTGAAGGAGAAATTTAATCTACAAAATTGCCAGTCAGTTCATGAACAATTGAGAGTTGACTAATCTGAAGCAAATATTTTTTCTTTTATTCTCATTTTAGTTATATATGATAGTTTATGTTTAGAAAACATAAATGCAAATAGATAAGTTGCCACTAATTAGAAGATAAAATGGCAAACATGGAAGAAAAATGTTCTACTTGACAATATGTGGATTATAAGTACCTTTGCAGGCTTTTAATATATAAAGAATGAGTCTAATGGAAGAAGACCCATCGTTAATGTTGGAAATAATAGTACATATGTCCAATTTAGTTACAGTCCTCGTAATACAAAACTAATCTTTGAAATGCTTGGTAAATATGCTGATTCTGGGTACAAATGAATCCTCCACTTCTAAAGGCTTGGTGTGGGCTTCGATTTAGATCTCCAATACATGTCCAGTGATTTTTGGTGCCCTTTTGGGAAACACACCATTTGGCATGATCCTGATAAGAACTGAAATAAGATTGTCCAGATATCTTAATTGCTTTGACGTTGTAGACGTGGTAAGGAAGGGAGCAGTTTGAAGGAAGCTCTTGCCTCCTTCGCTGCCAGGTTTCAGTAAGCAAGTGTGTTTTCAACCGTTGAGCCATCCAGGCTGCAAAGATATCTACAGTTTATAAGGAGAAAGATATTGAAGTTAGTGTTTATACTTAGATAAATCTCTGAAAATATCCTCAGGAATGAAAATCAACATTCATCCCTGATATGTGGATGTCACAAATACAATAACAACAACATAATTGAGATCACAGATGGGAAAACATTTTGTAAACACTAAAGTAATATGCAAATAAAAGTATTATTATAATTATTATTATTACTAAGATGACATTAGTGTCTAAAAGTGTTCTCCCCCTCTCTTTTCTATTTCTTTTCTCCTGAATAATCAGGATATTTCCTCTACACAATCCAAAATGAGTTCAGTAGCAGAGTTATATAGCATATTGTTTGATGATGGTCTTTCATACCGTCAAGAAAAGAATCAGACTTTGCAAAATGGAGGAAGTATTGTCCCTGGGCTGACTGAAGAGTGGCAAGGTGCCGGACAGGGGTCTCTGAGGAGCTGGCCCTGGTGCACAGCTGGGGCATGTGAACAAGCTCCTGGCGAAACGTAGCCGGGATGGAACAGCTGTAGATGTTTGGGTTGCAGATCAAGAGCTGAGAACCTGAGAAAAGAAATAATAAAGAAAATTTGAGAATTAAAATATAAACGAAAATCTTACTGATATTACAGACTTTTTATGAATTAAAAAAACAACAACAGAATAAAAGTATTCCCTTCTTTAAGCCAATAGCTTTCAAAGAACTCTTGGGTTACAATAGTTGACACCCACTGAGCACTTCCTACTTTGCAGGCATTGTTCTACGAGTTTTATGTGGATTTACTAACTAATCTTCCTAGCAATCGTATTATTAGGTGAGTTTGTTTACCATTATCCTCATTTTATGGATGAATTAATGAATAATGTCCGTGGTTATAAAGCTTGTAACTGACGGGGTTGATGTTCAAACCCAGACAGTCGACCACTGGAGGCCATATGTCTCTTCTACGTATACATATGTGAAAATGGAGAGCTCCCTTGTACCCATCATCCAGCTCCAGGAATGATCGACTCATGATGTGCACGCCTAAGCTCTGTTATTCAGCTGTCTAATCATTACATGAACTCCACTAGTTAGCCTGGACTTTGATTTGGCTCAGAAATCCTTGTCATGAGATGAAAATCGGATGAAAAACATTTCTAAACCTCTCTTATTCGGAGGCAAGTCACTCTTTGCCGCTGTTTAGCAGCCACCTCAGTAAAAAGTGGTTGGTAAACAGTGTTCCTTGTGCTACCCCGCCCCTATCATAGTTTTCCAAAGCCAAGTAATTGGACCATTTGAGCTTGAGACCTTAAAGAGAGATCACCTGGGGCTCAGAAGGGTCAGGTTGGCAGCCTACATGCACATGAGATCTGTACAGTATTCCCTCACCACTTCGTGCTTGTACGTTTGCGGCTTCACTCTATCGCAGTCTTTTCAAATATATTCAGTAAAAAGTTGATTGAGACAGTGAAAATGATACAGTGTGCACTCGGTTGTCTGAGTCAATTATACACCCCTGAATTACAATTAAAATTAAAATTATTGCCCTGGCCGGTTTGGCTCAGCAGTTAAAGCATCGGCCTGCGGACCACAGAGTCCTGAGTTCGGTTCCCGCTAAGGGCATGTACCTCAGTTGCCGTTTGTCCCCGGCCTGGTTGGAGTCATGTGGGTGGCAACCACTTGATGTATCTCTCTCACATCGATTTTTCTCTCTCTCTCTTGTTCTCTTTCTCCATCCCCCTGAAGATGCAAGAAAAAAAAAAAAAAAGGTAAAATTACTGAACATTGGACTGTAGGCCTATGTATTGGAGCACCCCAGGAATCCTTCAATGCCAGGTGCAACCACTAGAGTCTGGAATGGATTAACCGTGACAAACGAGGGATGACTATACAATTTTAAAAAATTAGATTGCGACCATATTTTAAAAGCAGGACCTCTCTTTCTCTTTCTCATACATACACACACACACACACACACACACAAACCCTAGATTTCTGGTTACTCTTTAAAAATGTGGCCACCTGTAACCATGAGGTCCACATTCCTGCAGAGCTACAACACGACAGAACCGAAGCTTGTGAGGCTAGCTGGGGGGAAGTCAACACCCCAGTTTGTCACTATCCCCACTGCCCATGCAACATGCACCTGTTTCACCCATTTCTGTCACCTGCCTGGCCTCTGTAGATATTTGAAACTACTACCCCTGATCAAGTCCATAGAATTGATCGAAGGACCAGGAAACCAAGTGCCTGTAAGTGAGCCTGCCCCAGGTCTCCTCGTGGTAAAGTCAATATTAGAATGTAGAGACCAGAAAGTCTATGAATAAAACATGAAGTGACATATTTATTAATACAGCCCAAATATATAAATATAACCCCTTCTTCAACATTGCTATCTCTTCTTTTACACGCTCTAAGGTTACCTATGGCGTCATACTGGTTGTACTTGAAAGTCACGCAGATGCCTGTTTGTCCGTTTCGCCTCCCGGTGGGTGGATAGTCATAGCCTTCTTCAGGAACTGGTGGAAACTGGGGGATGGAATGAATCAACCAGAACCCCTGGACCCTGTCCCACAGCAGTAAACCTACCAAAGATACAGTTCATACAGACACATCAGAAAAACAAAGCTCCTTTTTCGAATAGAGTTCAAAGTTACAACAGTTAAGCCCGTTTATATTTCAGGCTAATATCTTATTAGGCTGATAATCACAAGCTAGTTTTTTCAAAGATTTCAACATCAGTTCAGGCACACATAACACTACCCCATTTCTGATAATAAGCCACCACACAGGGGATCCAGGGCAGCTGTCCTGAGAAGAGTTCAGAGACATTTCATGTTGAAGCCGCAAAGAAAATTTGTTTTGTCAGAATGCAAATTTGCTAACTTGGAATTTGACCTTGTTAAATTATACAGCCACCTGGCAAGCTTTAGGTATGTCTTCACTGCTAAGCAGCTAAGTTATCTTCAAAAGCCGGCTGAAAAGCCTAGTTGAAAGAGAAAATATCAAATGAAGAAATGCACTTGCAGTAATTTGTTGTAAGGAACGGATGCTCATTTATTTGCTGAAGAATCGCCCAATTCCACAAGCCCGAAAAAAAAAAAAAAAAGAGGAATCAAAGAGAAAAAAGGGAAGTCATGCTGAATCATTTCAGTTCATTGTGTTTAGTAAAAATCTCTAGAGCAAAATAACATGGAAACCAGAAAAGAAGAAAACAGATTTTCATCATCTTGTGACATGACTAAAAGAACCCTGCCCAACAGGTATTTCTCTGTTTATAAATATGTCAGGGGAGTTTTGGTATGCTAACAAGACTTTCTAGTTTGCATATGGCCATGCAAACATAAAACTCATTCATGTTTGCCTTATTGTTAAGTGGAAACCAAATGCCTGCCAGTTGTTTCTCTTTCAAAAACACACTTTAAGAAAGCACACTATTGCTCTCTCAGTGCATAGAATCAATAACTGTGTGTGGGTAGAAAATGTTCAAAATCCTGTTGCTTATCTGAGCTGGATAACTTTCAGGGGCTGTATTCTGCCCAGATGAGTGTGCTGGTTGGCTGAAATCTTAACCCTCAGGTATAAATGCCACAGGATGTCAAGGCACCTGTTGGCAAAGAGAACTCTTCCACGGGACATTAGGCCCCAATCCTTTTCCGGTCTTTTATCCCAAACCTTTGTAGTAACTAAAAGAGTGGAACGAGAGTGGTGGTGGGAGGTTGTTGGTGGAGAAGTTGGAGAGTGTGGCATATTATAAAAATTGTTGGGTTCCGTGCAAATAGGACCATCAAGAAGGCCACTTGGCTAAATCAAAAGCACTCAATGCTCATGACATTTGACAGCCATTGCAGATTATATTCTTAATCCGAGGTTGCCCACTGGCAGCCCACAGGGCAAATCTGGGCTGCAGATACATACTGTTATGCTGGCAGAGTATTTTTTAAAACTTTGAATTCATTGCCAACATTTAAAAACTGGGGAGATTTCCCACAAATACTAATTTTCAACATCCTCTGAAAAATGCATTCACTGAATGCAATGTATAACATAATTCGTGAGTCATACAAAATTGTCATCTTAAAAATTAGCCTGCTATATTTGGTCAGGCTAATTTGGTGAGGTGTGTGATGTTAGCTGGTATTGATTTCTCTGGCCTTATAAGGCCCGTGGGCCGGACGTTCCCCACCTCTGAAAGGCTTGCTGAGCAGTGACTGCCCTTTGAGACCAAGCATATACTCTCCCCTTTCCAGTTACCTTGCTCATTCAGCCCACTTCACTTGCTGACATGCTTGCCTGTCCCTGAAGACATCTGGGCTTGGAACCCTCTGAATATATTAAGAAAAAGACATTTGTGTCCGGCCTGTGTGGCTCAGTGGATTGAGCATTGTCCCATGGACTGAGAGGTCCTGGTTCCATTCCCTGTCAGGGCACATGCCCGGGTTGTGGGCTCAATCCCCAGTAGGGGGCGTGCAGGAGGAGGCTGATCAATGTTTCTCTTTTACATCCATGTTTCTATCTCGCCCTTCCTCTCTCTAAAAAAATCAATAAAAACATATTAAAAAGAAAAAGGCATTTGTGAAAAGAAAATTGCCCAATCAAATTATGTAATTATAACGTGATAGAGAAATCACGTGTTTTGATAACTCAAAATAAAGCATGAAAAAGAAAAGCTATCTTGTTAGTGTGGAATATAAGAATATTCAAGATGGAATTTTTAAGAAAATGTTGATTTCCAGTAGGAAAGAGAAACTAAGAGCCTCTGTCATACCTTTGGTGTGTCCATACTTTCTGCTGTAATTCACAGATTTAGGGACTCCATCATTGTATACTAGATAGGCCGTGTTGTTATTCTGCAGGAACACATTAGGGTTACAATGGTGTAAATCATCCCCTTACAAATGCTCACGTTTCTACCAGCTACCCAGCCTGCAATGCAGAGCTTTCATTAATACACATGAGAAGTCATTCATTCCCTTAACAGGCAGCTTCCCCACCAGTATGAATTCTGGGACATGCAAGACAAGGGACAGGAAGTCCATTCTCAACCATGCGTGGCTTTGTCTTGTGTGACAGGAGCCCTGTCCATTGTGCTATATTCGTGAGGGTGCTATTCCTATTGCTCTTTGTTGTTTTGGATCCATGTTTCTGATTTGGCAGCCAGTACATCATAAAAAAAAAGTGCTTAAATATTTGTTCAGGAAATGAAGTAGGAACAACCAGCCGAGGATTACACCTGGGTTTTTTCCATTGATATTCTAGGCACCACGCAGAACGGGTTGTCAGGATCCAGCTTCCCTGCCTACTTTGTGCTTTGCTGCTTGGCCACAGTTTGGTGTTTGATCAGGATTTCTCTTTCTCAGCTCCCCTACCTCACTGACAGAGGATTTTTCCTTGGTCCCTTTCTGCATCACTTCGCCTTCCTAATCTGGCATTTCCCTGTTTAGGAAAAGTGGTGAAATTAAACGTGTGGAATGGGGTTTCCTCTGGTAATGCCAAATACTAATAAATTCTCCCAAATGCAGCTATTGTTTTGAGAGTATCTCAGTGTCATGCTTCAGAAAGTTACTTATATTCGTTCTGTGTGGTTTCATTTCATTTGTGTCGTGAAGCAGTGATGTTTATTGAAGTCAATAATGTCGATACTAAAAAAAAAAAAAAAAATCTCAGCGACATCATTAAAAGCAGGAAAGGACAATCCATTTCCTTTTTTAAAAGGGCCCTTGCTTTTCTCTCAGAAAAAAAGCCAATAACTGAATCTCTTACAATTGTGTAATTACTTGATGTAATCTAAAAACATTTGTAAAAAAGTTTGAACATAATCTGTGCAGTGTTCTTGGCTACTGTGTTTAGGAAAACCAGGAAAGTAAGCTGTTTTCTCCCCCTCACTTTGCGTGATTGACCATAGCTACTGTTGGTGTTTCTATCCTCCGTGGAGACCTCTGACAGTCAGTTAGTTATTCTTTAAGCCCGCAGCGAATGCGGTAATGAGGCCATTGTGTATCTTTGAGGTGCAATGCGGAGAGGCTCTGGAAAGATTCAGTGAGGAAATTTATTTTTATAATAGATGACATGTATTATTCAACCAGGTTTGAACAGCCAGCTAAAGTTATAGGGGTTGGATCTATAGTGGGGAGAGGAGCTCTCTGATGCAGAGGAAAGACCATGGACCTAAGAATAGGCAAACGTAAGCATGTGCCTTTGGACAGCTTTATTCCTTTAACACACATGTTGGGTATTATTTCGACTAGTGGATGTTGAACAAGAAGGGTATGGTCTCAGCCCCCAGTCTAGCAGGGAATAGAGACAGGCAAGTACAGGCCACTGCGACCCAGTTTGATGAGTGTTATTATGAAAGTGTATGGAAGGTTCTTATTTACAAAGGTAAAAGAAGAGAAACAATTTTAAATGTAATCTAGATATTAGCCTAGGTCACCTTGACATTTGAGATTTAAAACCAGTTGGTCTGATCTTGCATTGTACTCTCAGTTAGAAGTTCAGTTCCAGATCAGGAGGTGGGGAAATTACGTTCTCATGGTCACAGTTTCCAAAAAGCACCCAATTTTACCTGGACATCACCCACCGTTATTGTTGTTCTTTTGGCTCCATGCCAATCAGACATGGACATCAGCCCCTTTACTATAATTTTTTCCCCTAGAATCCATCACTCAAGGCATTGTGTATGAGCAGGTTTTACTGAAGGTATGAGCTTTGAATGATTGTACATTATCACACTAACCTGCTCACAGTCTCCCTCCATGTTTCTTCTCCTTTTTAATTCCTAGCTCCTATCTATCCCCTTTTTTTATATTGCAGAGCAGTTCAGCTCTCTTGCCTTCCTTGGCTCTGGAGCTACTTTTGAGTCTCCAAAGATCATTATTATATACTGCCAAACGAAGAACCATCTGCCAGAGGCTTTACAATACGCCCCCCACCACACACACACACACACACACACACACACACACACTCTTCTCAGTCTCCGAGTGGGGGAAAGGAACAATGTAAGTGTGTGTTTCCTCACGGCTGAGTTCTGTTCTGGGTCTTCAGCCCCAACTTTGGAAAGCAGAAGTAGCTGCAGGCAGTTTTGATTTTACATAATAATCTATTAATTCAAAACAGAGTTGCCATGGCCGCTTTTGCTCAGTGGTTAGAGCATCGGTCTGCGGTCCAGAGAGACCCGGGTTCGGTTCCCGCTAAGGGCACGTACCTCGGTTGCAGTTTGTCCCCGGACCTGGCTGGTTGTGCGGGTGGCAACCACTCGATGTGTCCCTTTCACGTTGATGTCTCTCTCTCTCTCTCTTCCTCTCTCTCCCTCCCACTCTATCTAAACAAAAAATGGAAAAATGTCCTTGGGTGAGGATAAAAAAACAACAGAGTTGTTGCTGAGATAAAATAGATTTTTTAAAGTGTCTAGAACAGTGCTTGGCACGTCACAGGTACTCAAACAGCCTATAAGCAAGTTCTGACTGTGTAACTTGGCTCTGAAGGCTGGTCTCAACGACAAGTGGAAAAGGTGAGTATTAGCATACACAGTGCACTTTGTAAATAAATACTCAGATGCACAAGTGCGGCAGTGCCAGAGTCTAGCAGGACGCCGTGGGGACTGAGTTAGTTACCTAGGGAAAGGCCCCGCACATTGTAAGTGCTGAGTCATTTTATGTATTCACTTCTCTATAAGTTGTTCGTTAGCAAATGCGTACACGAGTGCAATTGGATATTGATTTTTTTTTTTTATTTTACTCGTCATTCCTGATTGGAAAGCAATATCTTGTCACTGAACCACAGACGGTGCCTGGGACATTGGGAGACTTACCCCATGGAGCCAGCCGGCCTACTTAACCTGTGTCTCCTTGGTTAGATAGCTCACCTCCTGATGAAGTCCAGATAGCAGGTTTAATCTCCATTCAGGCAAGTTAGTTCGAGGGTCTTGAACTAGAGTCCTAGCCTTCAACCCACCATTTTGAAAAGGATTAAATAAAAGGGAGACTGAGTGACCTTTTATATATGTCACCCCCACTCATCACCAGCATGGCATAAACAACCCCATGACCATGACATATTGATCAAGGATCTGCACTGCAGTGTACCAGGAGAGGGCTCTTCACCCTATTCCCACTAGGAGGATAAGATCTCAAGTACTGAGCAAATTGGCAGAATTTGGCAGCCAGAGGCTTCAACCCCTTACCCAGTGATACCGTAGAACATGGTGTCGAATGTAACACAATTTGACACTACTGTAGAGCAGCGATTTTCAACCTTTTTCATCTCATGGCACACATAAATTAATTACTAAAATCCTGTGGCACACCAAAAAGTATATTATTTGCCGATCTGACAAAAAAAAAAGGTAAAATTTGGATTCATTCATGCCAGATGGCTATTGTTGTGTTGGCTGTTGTAATTTTTATTTGACAACCTAAGGAAAAAGAGGTCAGTGCCCCTACTAAATAGTCAGATATTGCATGTTTTAAAATTTCTTGAGGCACACCGATTGAAAATCTCTGCTGTAGAGTCTAATTACATATTCCCTAAGGTCTTGCTTGAACTGATTCAGATTATGAATTAAGTTGCTGGGATTGGGAGTTAGGTAGCTGAGCAGTTAAAATCTTTTGGAAGCTTTGAATTCGGTTTTATGCATTTTACATGATTCAAATGAATAATTAACTATAATGTACCTTGGAGGCATATGCTTCATACAGCTGTTCTAAGGTCCTTCCCAAAACACTCTTGGTGGCATTCATTAGTTGCTTACTCCTCCTCCAGCTTCTGGTTGTGGAGTCTAGGTATAGGTACTCTAACCCAGTCTTCCTACTTTCCTTGTCTTGCCTTTTAGGTAACTTATAAAAGGTAAACCTAGCAAAGGAAATAATTGTGAATTATTAACATTTATTGACTGCTTCCCTGATGGCAGCACTGTGTTAAGCAATTAACATTTATTGACTGCTTCCCTGATGGCAGCACTGTGTTAAGCATTTAAATATCTCATTTTACTTGCATTTCACAAAAGGCTTCTAAGTCTAAGGAAAGGAATGTGCTCAAGCTGTTAGCCTTTCCCCCACCCTTATTCCTGCTCGTTCCAGAGAAGGAAATACGATCTGACTGGACATATTCGAAGACTCTAACTGGCCGGGTGGGTGGGATTTCTGCAGTGAAAGTGCACGCCTGCTGAGAGCGCCTCTCCCTGTTGTTTGCACGGTCCCTACTGCCACAGTGGGCAGCAGGCCAAGGCCCCGGCCTGGACTGGGGAGGTCTTTAATGTGTGTTTCTCTTCTGCCCGAAGTTCTTGGCATGTTCATCTCTGCAACTGGCTGACTGGGTCTGAGATTTGGGTTTGGGCTTTGGGTAGGTGGAGACTCCCCTGAGCTTCTGGTTTAAGCCACATTTTTTAACTCAGATGATCAGAATGCTGTGCATTGAGAATTCGGGGCCAAGGCTGGTTAATTAAGTAGGCACTTTGCTTTCCTTTACTGCTGTCTCCTGCTTGCACGTCTCCTTTGGGCAGGAGAGGTGGTTGGGCCAATATAAAATGTGGGCATGTTTGGATCATCTAGCTCAGGGTTTCTCAATGTGCTCTATTCACATTTTGAGCCAGATCATTCCTTGTCATGGGGGAGATTCCAGTGCACAGTAGCAATCTTGGCCTCCACTTATTTGATGCCAGTAATACTTCCCAGCAGTGCTGATCCAAAATGCCTGCCGCCCTAGCCGGTTTTGCTCAGCGGTTAGAGCGTCGGCCTGCGGTCCAGTGAGACCCGGGTTCGGTTCCCCCTAAGGGCGCGTACCTCGGTTGCAGTTTGTCCCCTGCCCTGGTTGGGTTGTGTGGGTGGCAACCACTCGATGTGTCCTTTTCACGTTGATGTTTCTCTCTCTCTCTCTCTCTGTCCCACTCTATCTGAACAAAATATGGAAAAATGTCCTCGGGTGAGGGTAAGAAAAAAACTAAAAACTGCCTGCAGACATCGTTGAAAGTCTCCTGAGGGCAAAATCACCCCAGTCTCACTAAATACTTCCTAGTGGCACAAACCCTACATTTAATCCTCCAACACTCACAGTAAAGCAAACATTGTAATGAATTCACTACGCAGCAGTTTCTCAACTGCCCACAACAGCTTCTCACTGTTGGTTTTCTTCAGTCTTCTGCTTCTAGTGAAGTAAACTTGTCCTGCCCTGACCATGCTTTCTTACTCTCAGGGTAAGAGTCTCACATGTGGCAGGAAGCAAGACATCATTCTTCGGTGCTAACTTACTACTACTCTGTCCTTGAACTCTCATAGTTGTAGCAACTGGAGACTGTCTCACCGCCTGCTCAGCTCAGCATCCCTTCTGACCGATATTGCTAAGTCATATGTCCATTTAGTTACAGCAAGAAAGCATTGTAAAGACTGATAACAATTTGGTGGCCCCCCAGTGAAGGGTGTGCAAACTAGCCGTGTGCCATGGCACAGCAGTTGAGAACAAGTGCTTTTAATTATTTCACCTGGGTGACAATCTCCAATGATATGTTCAAGATTCCAAATAGATTTCTAGCCCAGATCTCCATGCCGAGGTCAAATAAACCTAAATGTAGGAATGTTCCTGAGAGGTTCATCTTTATATTTTTGAAACCAAGTTTGTGATGTTCTGCTCCGAATCTTTTCATTCCCTGCTGTTAGGGAACACATCCACACAGTCGCAGAAACAGCAACTGAAAGTCTTTCTTATCCTCTCCCTTTCTCCCACGACCTTCAGCCATCCATGACCAAGTCTTCTCAGAGTGTTCCCTCTCTCTGTTTCCATCACTCCTTCTCTGAGTTGGTTCCACACCTCTTCTCACCTGTACAAAGGTCCTATTGCTACAAAGGTCCTATTGGCCTTCGTGACTCTAGACTGGTCCCCAGCTGGCCAGCCTTCACAGCACTTCTAGTGGGCTTCCTGGAATGCTAATCTGACCACATCATGTCCCCACCTGAAGTCCTTCAGTAGCTCCCTTTCAATGTCAAGTTCAGACTCTGGGGCTCAGCACATGAAGGCCTTCATGACCTGGCCGTCACCTATCTCCCTAAGCTCACCTCCTACCATCTCCGTACTTGCTTCTGAAGTGGCAGCAATACTGAACTGCTCCCAAACTCTCCCCCTGGTGTCTTATCTCTGGATCTCCTCATGGCTCCTTCACTGGCCTGAGATGCTCTTGCATCTCTCTTGTTTTTCTAACATATTTATTCTTAAAACTTAGCTCAAAACTACTTCCTCAAAGAAGCCTTTTGCGCCTGATCTACACTCTTACCACATGACTATGAGCCCCAGTGCCCATCTATACCCTTACCACGTAAATATGACCCCAGTGCCCATGTATGTCCTTATCACATAACTATGAACCCCAGTGCCCATCTATACCCTTATCACATAACTATGAGCCCAGTGCCCATCTATACCCTTATCACATAACTATGAGCCCAGTGCCCATCTACATCTTTATCACACAACTATGAGCCCCAGTGCCCATCTATACCCTTATCACATAACTATGAACCCCAGTGCCCATCTATACCCTTATCACATAACTATGAGCCCCAGTGCCCATCTATACCCTTATCACACAACTATGAACCCCAGTGCCCATCTATACCCTTATCACATAACTATGAGCCCCAGTGCCCATCTATACCCTTATCACACAACTATGAACCCCAGTGCCCATCTATACCCTTATCACATAACTATGAGCCCCAGTGCCCATCTATACCCTTATCACACAACTATGAACCCCAGTGCCCATCTATACCCTTATCACATAACTATGAACCCCAGTGCCCATCTATACCCTTATCACATAACTATGAGCCCCAGTGCCCATCTATACCCTTATCATACAACTATGAACCCCAGTGCCCATCTACACCCTTATCACATAACTATGAGCCCCAGTGCCCATCTATACCCTTATCACACAACTATGAACCCCAGTGCCCATATATACCCTTATCACATAACTATGAACCCCAGTGCCCATTTATACCCTTATCACATAACTATGAGCCCCAGTGCCCATCTATACCCTTATCACACAACTATGAACCCCAGTGCCCATCTATACCCTTATCACATAACTATGAACCCCAGTGCCCATCTATACCCTTATCACATAACTATGAGCCCCAGTGCCCATCTATACCCTTATCATACAACTATGAACCCCAGTGCCCATCTACACCCTTATCACATAACTATGAGCCCCAGTGCCCATCTATACCCTTATCACACAACTATGAACCCCAGTGCCCATCTACACCCTTATCACATAACTATGAGCCCCAATGCCCATCTACATCCTTATCACATAACTATGAACCCCAGTGCCCATCTACACCCTTATCACACAACTATGAACCCCAGTGCCCATCTACACCCTTATCACACAACTATGAACCCCAGTGCCCATCTACACCCTTATCACATAACTATGAGCCCCAATGCTCATCTACATCCTTATCACATAACTATGAACCCCAGTGCCCATCTATTTCCTTACCACATAACTATGAGCCCCAGTGCCCATCCACACCCTCACCACATAACTATGAGCTTCTTGAGGGCAAGAACTATGTTTTGTTCATATTTATATTTTCAAAGCTCAGCACAGGGCCTGGTATGAATGAGCTCAGTGACTGTTTGCCAAGGGACTGAGTGAGTGTGTCTGTATTCTTCAGTCTGAAGTTTACACAAAGCTTGACGCCAACCATAATGGCAAACCAAAATACCCTAATTAAAGAGTGAAAAAGTAATTAAAGCTTTAGGGGAATCCATGACTATGATACAAAGCTGTGTTTAGTCTTTTTGACACTGTTCAAGAGGCCACTGACCTATCCCCTACTCCAGTAGCTGCTTGTGCTGCCTAATAAATGAGGTTAACCAAACAGCACTGTGTATGATCATGCCCTCTTTTTCATTGTCAGAATGAGAAGGGTAAGCTCCAGTGTCAAAAAGAAAGTAACCTGCATTCCCTCCTTTGTCAGTCTCTAAAAGGATGTTGGGAGGGTTATGTTAGCAAAGCCACAACGCAATGAAAGGAAGTTGCCAACCGAGAGAAGTTGGCAGCTCTACCGCACACACCTGTGTCCACCAGCCTTGCCCCGCTGAGAGCAGGGACTACTAGCTCTTTCTCAGGGGGAAGCTCCCTCACTCAGAAGCCCACCCTTATCTGGACATTTGGCCCACTTACACACTTTAATTTCCTTTCTTCTTAAGGGAGAGGTGGGGTGGAAGTCTCTTTTGGAAATTCACAGTGAACCAGTTTGCCTCCATACTCTGGCTTTCTATTTGCATGCACCACACCTTACATTTCATTTACCTACCAATCCACAGCATCACCTTCTTCATTTCTGCACGATATTGTCGTCTCCAGGACCCCGAAGAGGCCAAGGAAGAGCAAAGCAAGGGTTGTTCTTAGAAGACTTGCTGTCATTTTCCATCTGTCACCTCTACTCCATGCCACAGCAGAAAACTTCCCGTAGATTGTGAGTCTGAGTTTCCAGTCTCTCTCATGCTGTGCTGGCTCTGACACTTGCGTTCATTTACCTCTGCTGTTTGTGGTTTGGGCCCTTTCAGAATGGAATGAGTCCCATGAAGTCCTGTGATTCTGTCACAATAGGCCAGCGTGACTCCGGATGCCTTTGTGCTGAATCGTTGACTGGTTCGCAAAGTCATCAAAAAGTTCTAGAGAGAAAAAAGGGATATATACTTAACTGTTTGGAATGAATGTTGTGTGATACAAAGTTCAGTAGACAGGGGAATTACATGTTGATAAACAGATGCTGAATTAAATATATTTCATGTTTTTCCCCTCATGATTGTCTCTCTATGAGAGAGCAAATGCTTGTGGTTCACACATTAAACAGAAATGATGCCTGGTTGGTGTGGCTCAGTGGTTGTATGTCAATTCATGCACCAAGGGGTCATTGGTTTGATTCCTGGTCAGGGCACATGCCCAGGTTGTGGGCCTGATCCCCAGTAGGGGGCATGTAGGAGGCAGCCAACTGATGTTCTCTCTCATCGATGTTTCTATCTCTCTTCCCTCTCCCTTTCTCTCTCTCTCTAGCATCAATAAAGAAAAATAAATAAAAAATAAAAAAGAAAGAAACATTAAAAAATAATAAAAATAAACAAAAAAGACAAGACCTAATGGTTTAATAATAGCCGGGATCTATTACTTGTAATATTCTCTATGTTAAGGAAACAGTCCCTGAAGGGTATTTCAAAGGGTTGCTTCAAAATAAGAGTGAATTCTGTTATATTTTACCAAAGATGTTTGCATATGCTCTCCACCTCCTGGTTTTAGCCACTCAACATGGTACTTCCATGAGTATTTTGTGTCCAATTGGCTGTCGTGCAATCAGGTAAACATATTGACTGCTCACTCTTCAGGCCACATAAGAAATGTTACAAATATTTGTTTTGCCAAATTAGTCTTTCTCATTTTTGAGCCTGAACCTGAAGCACGAGGCCGAGAGAAAATGGCGCAGTACCATAACGACTATAAGAAGGTGAGACCATTCTCTTTTTAGAGGAGGAGAGGGGTAGATAACCAAATGGAAAGAATTTCTTTAAGTGCATGATGCTTTTGAATCCATTATTAAAGGTGCTGTTGTAATAAATATTAGTTTAGCTCATGCGGAAATCATTAAGGCTCTGCTCTGTCCCTATACTCATGGATCCAGGACAGAGCCACTTAGGGATTCAGACCAAACTGGACCTTGCAAATCGGATCAGTTCTGTGGTTAAGTGGAAGTTGTTCCGGGTTCTCAGGGTTCACAGGAAAGGGAGGGCTTGGGCTTCTAGTTCTTCTAAAACAAGAGTTTTGTGAAGGATGGCTAGACCACCCACTCACATTTTCCTGTGGTGCCTGTGAAAAGGGCAGAATTCTGGGCTCCAACTCAAGCTTGCTAAGTCAGAGCCCTTCTAGTTAGGTTCAGGAACCTACATTTTCCACAAGGTTTTTGGTGATGCTGGTGTACCTGAAACTTTGAGACTTGGAGCCCTGAGGCCAAGACCATTCTGTACCTGGTAAATGCACAACCTACCAAACTGGTAAACCAAGCAACATTTTTCTGACCATTTCTCCATGGGCGTTGCTCTGTTTTATATATGTTTTTACTGCATTCAGAAAGAACTATCTCAGCAACCCCAACCTTTTCATCAATTAAAAAAATTTTTCATAGCATGAAGGTTACTTTTCTAAGTTAAAATAAATAAAATTAATTTCATTTATCTTGTGATACCTTTTTTTTTTTTTTATCCTCACCTGAGGACATTTTTCCATTTTTTTGTATAGATAGAGTGGGAGGGAGGGAGAGGAAGAGAGAGAGAAACATCAACATGAAAGGGACACATCGAGTGGCTGCCACCCGCACAACCAACCAGGGCCGGGGACAAACTGCAACGGAGGTACATGCCCTTAGCGGGAACCGAACCCGGGTCTCTCTGGACCGCAGGCCGACGCTCTAACCGCTGAGCCAAACCGGCCAGGGCATTGTGATACCTTTTGGTATTATAATAGTTGAGTATGCCAGGCTTAGGATTCAGTGATGCATTTAGAGAATATAAGCATCTTGTTGTCAGTTATGTAGGCTAGACATTTCTTAAATAAGATATAAAGTATTTTCTGTTTTCTCCTTATTACATGCTTAGCACAGTGCTTGGCAAATAGAAAATGACCCACAAATATTAGCTAAGGTTATTTTTACCATAACCTGAGCCCTTTCTGTGGTTGGGCTGGGGTACCTCTGCATTAAGATGGATTTTGCTACATCTAATTTTATTTCAAGTTCTGGAAAAATCCTGTTAGGTTACATTCTTTCAGATGCTGCTTTCAGTAAACTTTCTTATCTCCCATCGTTGCTGACATGATCATGCTGACTGTCAGTTAACAACCTTCCTTATGCAATCACTAGGTGTTGAACACTGTACCGGATGCTGAGGGGCTCCAGGGATTTCAACTTCACCTTGAGGCCTAGATTCCAATGTATCCCATCTTTTACTAAAAATAGCAAAGTAATGTTATGGACAGAAGCACAGTGAATTTGGTGGATGGAGAAAATGCAAACTGCACAGAATGGTTTTCACAATATTACCTACTTTTTAAGCCCAAGCAATGCAATATTATGAAAATGCCATTTCTGCCTCACAACATGACCACCTCTAAAAATAGTAGAACATCCCTTTGTTATAACATATTGAGCAAGAAAGAGTTCTTCACTTGTTAATGGACTTCTTATTTTATGGTGGAAAGTTTACATTCATTCATCCAGTAATTCCAGAAAATCTTAGTCTTGATTTCTTGGAATTCTGCCTCTTCCACATTTCGCTATTACATCTTTCTAGCACATTTTATTTCTCTTTCATATGTTCTATCTCCTGTGTGTCTGCATTAATCCTTGATTCTTTATTTGGGCCTATCTTCCAGTTCTCTCATTCTCTTTTTGGTAACTTTTAACTATTACTTAATCTATCTTTTCCAAATAACTAATTCTTTCTCCACTTGCATTTTTTTCTAAAAAAAATATGTTTTTATGGATTTTTAAAATTTTTATTTTAGAGCGAGGAAGAAAGGGAGAGAGAGACAGAAACATCTATGTGAGTGACACATCTATAGGCTGCCTCCTGCACACCCGCTGCTGGGGATGGAGCCTGCAGCCCAGGCATGTGCCCTGACTGGGAATAGACCCGGGACCTCTCAGTCCATGGGACGATGCTCAATCCACTGAGCCACACCAGCTGAGCTCTTTAGTTGCATTTAATCTGTTCCTTAATCCACTTATCAATGCATTTCTAGAAGGTCTACTTTAAATGTACTTGGTCTTTTATATGGTTCCTTGTTTCTTACTCCTATTCCATCTCAAGAACAATATAAATCCAATCTCTCTTATTTCTGTAAAAATATTAAGTATACAATTTTTCTATTTTATGTTCAATAATGGCAATATCTGACCTTTGCAGGTCACCCTTTACTATCTGTTGTTTTTACAACTATCTCTCATGATACCTTGCTCCCTTGTGTACTTTTGACTTGAGGCTATGAATTCATAATCCTTGAAGCTTAATCTGTGAGAATTTTTTGAGATTGAGATGAAGTTAAATTTTTCCAGATCCTGGTCTGTGCTGGCTTCGTCAAAGTTTAGTTATCCTGTAAGGACTCTTGGCTTTATTTATTTATTTTCAATAGCCTTTTTAGGTGTGGTTAACATACCACAAAATTCATCTAAGTTCAACTTTATTTTTGTTGAAACTTTTACAAAACTATTGATATATGGAGTAAAATCTAGAATGTGACAGATGGAAGGAAAAAGTTGATGTGCTTCTTGAGGGAAGAAGGGAAGGGGACTTGAATTATTTTGATAAAAAGGGGTGACACAAGCAAAAAAGACTCAGATATTTGTAAACTAAAGAATTGTTCAATAGAAATATGGTTAAAGGAAAACATAAGTGGAAAAGGGCCAGAAAAATTGTATGTGGTTAATTCCTACTCATTACTCAGGTGGCTTTGTGAATGCCAGTCCCCCTGGAAGCCATCCTTAAACTCTCAGTCTGGTTAGGTGTCCCTGTAATACTGCATTTTTCAATTAAATTAATTATCAGAATGTGTTCTAATTAATTGATTACTTTTCTGGCGCTTACTTTAGAAAGCAGAGGTCAGCAAACTCCTATGAGCCAAAGCTGGCTTAATATCTATTTCTGTGAATAAAGTTTTATTGAAGCACAGCCATGTCCATTCATTTACGTATTGAGTAGCTACTTTATGCTATCATGGCAGAGCTGAGCAGTTGCAGCAGAGACCGTATAGCTTGCAAAGCCTAAAATACTAATTTTTTTATTCTTTACCAAAAATGTTTGTTCTAGTGTATACTCTATCCGGGCAGAACAGTGTCTGCCTTGTTTATTGTTGTATCTCCAGAGCTTACTGTGGTGCTTGTCACATAGAAGGAGCTAAATAAATACAGGTGAATGTAGGAATTGAATGAAAAAAGGGTTTGAGAGTCCTCTATTTGAGGTTATGTGACTTTAGAATTAATTAAAACTAATCAGAGAAATAAATACAAGTGATTATGTAGGTAAAATGGGGCATGCAGGAGGCAGCCGACTGATGTATCTCTCACATTGATGTTTCTCTCTCTCTCTTCCTTCCTCTCTCTCTAAAAAATCAATAAAATACATATTTTAAGTCCCATTATAAAGAACTTCATTGTAATGTCATGTCAGGAAGGTAGCTGGATATTGTGAAAATAATCGGGCAGACCTGGGTTCCATGCCTGCCCTCGACCTCATTAGTCATGTGGTTTTGACCAATCTGTTTAACACCATGAACATCAGCTCTCTTTTCTGAGGTGAGATTCATGATCTGCACCTTCACAGAGAGCTAGTAGGATTCGATGAGATGCTGTGTGCATAGCCTCTGCTACAGAACGTGTTCTCATTCAATGCTGGTTCCTTCCCACCTAGTTTCCTCTTCTTCCATGATGCACCCGTTTCTTGGTCCTCACAGATGGACTAAAAACAGTCCGTTGGTAATATAGCTCT